TATATATATATATATATATATATATATATCAGTATCTAACCTATATTCAAAGCCAGTGTCCGTCAAGTCACGCTTGATTTCTCGAAATAGGAGGAGTTATGATAAAATCCAAAATACCTTTATCCAAATAGAATAGTTACATTTATCCAGATAGAATAGTTTGATAACTGTCTGTCCATTACGATTTTAATGACGGGGGATGCCGTGAAAGTGTTGGTATAATAAGTCTAAAGTAAAGATGAAGAGCCAAAGTGCACAAAAGTTATCATGAAAGTAAAATTATCGATTCATTTTTATAGCTGATCAATTAATAAAACAATTGAAATTTCAACAAAAATATGTTTTATTTTTGTTTGTAATTTTTATTGGTTAAATGTGAAACATATTTTTGTTTGTAACTTTTATTGGTTAAATGTGAAACATATTTTTGTTTGTAATTTTTAATTGGTTAAATGTGAAACATATTTTTGTTTGTAATTTTTAATTGGTTAAATGTGGTTTCAGATTTAACCAATAAAAAGCTAATTGAGAAAAATATATTTGTTTTCTTTAGTGAAAATCTAATGAGTGTTGCAACAGAAAAGTAAGGCACTTTCATTGATAACTGCGTCTACAAAGAAATACTCCAATAAAATCTACTCTGTGATGTAATGCTGTGATGATAGCTCATTTTTAAACTAAAATTTCAATAAAATCCTTTTCTCATGGATGGTGAACATTATTGAATGTCAAGTATGAGTACATTGTTGTAGAACTGTCCAGAAAAGGCCCAATAGCCTTCCGCAGGAACTAGCAGTCATACCTACCCGGAGGGTGGGTATTTTTGCTAGTGATTATAATTTTGATTGGCTCACAAATTAATTCACCGACACTTGATTGCCTTAGGTTGGTCAAGCTTGATTTATTTCACTTCGTTATGTCAGTATACTATGGGGTGGTAGTTCTTGTCTGTCGTTATTGACAGGCTATATGCCAGTACTTACATGGTAACATTCTGTGTTGTATCAGTATACATACATATACACTACGGTAACATCCTGTGTTTTAACAGTACACAGCTACAGTAACACCTACATATATATTTTAATAACACTGGGGCTGAGTTGTTTTTCATGATTGTACATACAAAAAAGCACAAGTCAATTTTTTCTTCACATTTCACTTTATTTTATCTAAGTAAAAATAAAACAATAAAAAATACACTATTTTAATTGGAACAATGTCTAATATTCTGCACAACACTTGTTACCATGAAACAGAATTTTTTATAAAACTAGTTTCCAGAATTATCATTTTAAAAAACAACTTCCACAACCTATAATGTAACTCATTTGTTCTAAACATTGGGTTCAGGGCTACTCATTTGTTCTAAACATTGGGTTCAGGGCTACTCATTTGTTCTAAACATTGGGTTAAGGGCTACTCATTTGTTCTAAACATTGGGTTAAGGGCTACTCATTTGTTACTAAACATTGGGTTAAGGGCTACTCATTTGTTCTAAACTATTGGGTTCAGGGTCTACTCATTTGTTACTAAACTATTGGGTTACAGGGCTACTCTATT